GCCATGTCACCCCTGCCCTGGCCCCAAGTAGTACAGTATGGACAGTCAGCTCTTGGTTGGGGGAGGGAGAGAGGAGACAGAATCCCCATGCCAGGCCCACCGTCACCATCACCAACTTCAGACTCGGGTGGAGTCCAGCAGCCCACATCTGCAGACTGAGTGTTTGGACCTCCACAGCCAGGCCAACTCCACCACCCTTTCCCCAACCGCCAGCTGGAACTGCAGCAAGACCCTGGTTGTTGCAGAGTAGGGCAGGATCATTTCTCAGCCTTTTGGCTAAGATCAGGTGCACAGTAGGGCAGCAGAGGGAGTGCAGGACCCTGCAGTGGAGCTCAGAGCTAGAGCCCACCCCCATAAGACCAGTACCAGGTATAGGTAAAGGCATCTACACACGGGCCAGTCCTCATTGACTAAGCCTCTGACTTGCCAGGCCTTGTGTGGAGGCCTACACTCCAGGGGGAGGGACTCCTTACAGCATGTTGTCATCACCAGTCTTTGGAGGCCTGGCAAGTACCCCAAGGGCCCATCCACTGTGGGACCCAGGTATGGCTCAGCTGGGTGCCAGTCTGGATAGTGAAGCAGAAGCCTTTATCAACCTCTTACAGTCTTTCATAAATAGCACAACTTGCATCGGCTGGCAAAGCCCAACACGGAAGGTTCTAATGGCTCCCATCTCTGCGCAAGTGCTTGTGTATGGAGTCTCGGGACTTGCCCCAGTATGAGGCGGGTAGGGTAAGGTAGGGTAGACCTGTATCAGCATGTGTCACTGTTGGCCTCACCTGGGCCTGCTGGGTATCTTCAAGACTGCACAGAGCCCCAGATGTGGCCTCCTACCTCCCCTCCTACAGCCTGCGGCCATCAGCAAGGAACCACAGGACTGGTTATTCAGGCCAGGAAAACCCAGTGTGAGCAGATCCTAATGGCCCCTGTGCCCAGGCCAGTGCCAGAAGACAGAGTCTCTAGAGCAGTTTCAGTGCCAAGTGGAGCACCGAGGCTCCTGCTGACCACTCTGATACCTCATGCAGCATCACTAGTGGGGTAGGAGCAGCATCAGGCCATGAGTCCACCTCAGCAGCACAAAGACCAGAGCAGAGAGGGTGGCTTTAGGTCCTAGCCTGGCTTCCCTCGTTTCAGTGGGCTCTGGGCTCAGGATATGATCTGGCATTATGGCACTAGAGGACAGAAGACCAGAAGTCTGAGCCTACTCCAGTACCAGGAAGAGGCTTGTGGGGATTGATTACACCATTTTAGGGACTTTTAAGTTCATTCTGAACAACATATCAGCTGTAAATTTGGGACAGATCTGGGCCTGAGTATTGTAGGACTAAAAAAGTAAACAAACATTAACAGCAAACCCAATGCAAAACTCATCTTGGGATTTGATGTCATAGAACTGTCCATAGGCTCAGAGAAAACAGACTGCTTAAAATTTCTGGAAGGACAAAGTCAGACTACTGTAATAGATCCCTCAATGTACAGGCAATGCCATACACCAATAAACAGCAGGAATGTCCAAGGAACCACAACCTCGCCTAAAGAGCAAAATAAGGTCCCAGAGAACAACTGCCTGGGAACTGAAATTTCCAAGTGTTTGCTTGAAAATTTCAGAATAGTTGTTTTAAGGAAACTCAATGAAATTCAAGACAACACAGAAAATGGTTTAGTACTTTAACAGAAAGAAATGAGAGACATGGAAGTGATTAAACAAAATCAAACAAATCCTTTAACTGAAAAATATACCAAGCAAAATTTAAAATGCATCAATAACAGAATTGATCAAATGGAAGAAAGAATCAGTCCTTTTCAAGACTGACTATTTGAACAACACCATATAGTTGGAGGAGAAAAACAATCAAGAGGAATGAACAAAATTTTCAAGAAATCTGGGAGCATGAAAAGAGCAAATATTGAGGCTTAAGAGGGACTTGAGGGTGGGCAATATGTTCAGTGCTGAAGATGGCTGAATAGGGGAAGCCACTCTAACTTAAACTGCTCTGGGAAACTAAAAGAACAAAGGAAGAAATACGTTCCCAGGGGTCTGACTACTGGGAAAATTTCTTGAATAAGCGATAAAAAATGCAGGCTCTGTGGGACAAGAGGAGAGGAGACAGAGACCCCTATAGCCATGCGGTGCAGCCAGCTGCAGCTGTGAGCTGCCTTCTTACCACAGTCAAGGTTGGGAGAAATCGCCGTGCACCCTGATGCTCACATTTTACCTGAGAGGGAATTCCACACGCACCCACCGGCTTTCACTTCAGCCTGGAGAGCTGAGTGGGGTCTCAGCAACTGCCAGGCTTGCAGCGGGGAAGCTGCCCTGCTTCCTTCCCCTCTCCCACTCCCACAAAGCACCATACGTGACAGCGAAAAGTCGCACAGCACCTCCATTCTCCTACCAGCGTCATAGTCAGCATCACAGAAACACGTGGGGCAATGGACAGGTTCCCTGCATCCTGCAACTGTGGGAGCTGTAGGGCATTAGCCCCAGAGCTACGCTAATGCACTCTGTGTAAACTAGGAGGATTCCCCTAAGCTAATGAGAGCTAACACCAGAAGCAGCCCATAAGCAAAATCCACTCCCACCTGGAAGATCTGCATAATGACCCCACTACACCATGCAACATCAGGACTGTAACAACTCATTCTAAATTTCTCGGTGCCATTGGAAATCTACCTGGTGGACATGGGAAAGAACCTACCTGTATTCCACCTCTCTGGGCTCCAGAGTAAAAAGCTCCTGTGTGCCCTGTAGTCACCCTGAAGGACTGGGACAGGGTTCAGTTCACATCCTCTAGTTCTAGGATTAGGACTGTCGGTACTATAAGCCACAGCACCAGTTGGACTAGCAGGAACTAAGGAAGGGTCCATCTGTATCACACAGTCCTAGAGCCACAGCCATTGTGCAACAAGCCCTGGCATCACTCAGGCTTGCCGTAGGACCAAGGGGCACCCATCCTTGTCCCCCTCAGCACCAAGATCAAGGCCCTGGCTATCACATTCACCGGGGAAATTGACATTGAGACCTCTGTGGGCCAAAGATGCACACCCAAGGGAAACTTGTTTATCACAAAGCCACACTAATAGCCCTACAAACTGCCACTGACTACTCCACTGTCACTTACAGGCACAGCTGACATTAAGACAAAAAGAAATCACTCAGAGACTATGCTCCTGGGTTCACCTAAAACAAAAACCAAAGCAACAAGCCAAGTAATGTATTGTATTTCATCTGAACCATAAGCTCTTTTCCACTAAAACCTACTCCTTGAAGAAGGGAGGAATACACCAGATGGACAGGCATCAATAGAGGGACACAGGAGACATGAAGAAGAAGGGTAGCATACTCCTCCATGTCAGATCCTGCACACATCATTATACTTCAGAACACTGGACTGGGTAAAGACTTCAGAACATTGGACTGGGCAAGGATTTTCTGGATCAGACACCAGAGCATAGAAGAGAAAGCAAAAATAGACAAGTAGAATTTCATCATATAAAAGAACTTCAGCACAGCAAAGGAAATAATCAAGAGTGAAGATAATCTATAGAATGGAAAAAATATTTGTAAGCTACATATCTGGCAAAGGGTTAATAACTGATTATGTCAGAAACTCAAACAGCAAAAATAACAAATAATCTAATTAAAAATAGGCCAATTAAAACAACATTTCTCAAAGGCAGATATATACAAATGACCCACAGATATGTGAAAAACGCTCAACATCACTTATTTGACTTGTAAACAAATGCAAATCAAAACCACAAGGAGAGATCACCTCACTCCAGTTAGGTTAGCAACAAGTATTGTTGGCAAGAACCTGAGGAAAAGGGAACACTTGCACCCTGTTGTGGGAATGTAAGTTAATATGGCCATTGTAGACAACAGCATGGAGGTTGTTCAGAAAACTCAAAGTAGAATTACTGTAAGATCTGCATCTCTACTATTGAGTGTATACCCAATAAAATTTAAATCAATTTGTTGAAAAGATATCTACACTATTGATGACTGAAGCACCATTCACAATAGTCAAGAAACAGAAACAACCTGAATATCCATCAACTGATACACTGCCAAAGAAAATGTGGTTCAGAGCCACAATGGAATACTTCCCAGACATTAAAAATGACATTTTGTCATTTTCAACAAAATAAGTGGAACATGAGGAACTTGAGGTCATTTTGTTAAGTGAAATAAACCAGGAAATAGAAAGACAAGTATCTGAGACCAGCATCATGGCCTAATAGGTAAAGCCACCATCTGCAACACGGGCATCCCATGTGGGCACTGATTTGTAACCCAGCTGTTCCACTTCCCATCAAGCTCTCTGCTAATGGCCTGGAAAAGGTAGAGGAAGATGGCCCCAATGTTTGGGTTCCTTCCATCAACATGGAAGACCTAGATGAAGCTCCTGTTTCCTGGCTTCAGCTGGTCCAGCATTAGCTGCTGCAACCAACTAGGAACCAAACTAGCAGATGGAAGATCTGTGTGTGTGTGCGTCTGTGTGTGTGTGTCCCTCTAACTTTGACTTTCAAAAAATAAATAAATCCTGAAAACAGAAAAAGAAATACAAGTTCACACAATCTCAACCATGTGGATTCTTACAAAAAAAGGTGATCTCATAGAAGTTAAAAGTATCATGGTGGTTATCAGAGACTGGAGAGGAAAAGGAAGAGAGAGGGATGGGGAAAGGCTGGTTAGCAGGTACAAAGTGACAGACAAACAGGAATAAGAAGTTCTGGGATTCTATTTCATCCTATTGCGCTGTAGGGTAACTATAGATAGCTAATTTACTCTATAAGAAAAACTAAACGATAGAATTTTTTAATGTTTTCACCATGAAGATATACTAGCTGTTTGACTAGATAGATATATTTACCTTGACTGGGCACATGTATCAAAATATCACACAGTACCTCATAAATATGTACAAATTTTATATGTCTATTAAATTTTTTAAACTTTTATTTAATAAATATAAATTTCCAAAGTACAGCTTTTAGATTACAGTGGCTCCCCCACCCATAATTTCCCTCCCACCTGCAACCCTCCCATCTCCTGCTCCCTCTCCCATTCCATTCACATCAAGATTCATTTTCAATTATCTTTATATACAGAAGATCGATTTAGTATATTTTAAGTAAAGAGTTCAACAGTTTGCACCCACACAGAAACACAAAGTATAAAGTACTGTTTGAGTACTAGTTATAGCATTAATTCACATTGTACAACACATTAAGGACAGAGATCCTACATAGGGAGTAAGTGCACAGTGACTCCTGTGTTTGACTTAACAATTGACACTCTTGTGTATGGCATCAGTGATCACCCTAGGCTCTTGTCATGGGTTACCAAGGCTGTGGAAGCCTTTTGAGTTTGCCCACTCTGATCAAAAATTTTTAAATACAAATTTCCATTAAAAACTTTTTAACATTGTCGATGGAATTAAACCATGTGATTTTTTTCACAGGGAATGGAGCAGAGCTCCTCATGCCAGAAAATAGGATTGTGGATGCTCCTGGAGTTTTGCCTATTGGTCCTCCATGTAGTTGTTTATCTTCTTGGCACTTATGTCTTCTGTTCAGAGATCAAATGTTTCCCCACAACTCTCTGAAAAGCCCCTACCACATCCTTGTTCCTCAGGCTGTAGATAAGGGGGTTTAGCATGGGTGTGAGGACAGTGCAAAATACAGATACAGCCTGCTCCTGCTCAGGGGTGTGGGATGAACCCGGTGTCATATACATGAAAACACATGGTCCTAAGTAAAGACTCACCACCAGAAGATGGGAGGAGCACGTAGCCAAGGCCTTGTTCCTACCTTGGGGGGATTTCATACGAAGGACACTGAGGAAAATGAGGGTGTAAGAAGACATAATGAGTCCAAAGGGGATAACTAGAAATGCAATGCCCATCACAAAGACCACCAGTTCATAGGTGGAAGTGTCTGCACATGAGATCTTCATGATCCCTGGCATCTCACAGTAGAAATGGTGGATCTCTCTGGAGCCACACATTGGCAGACTCATAGTGTAAGAAGTATGAGCTGTGGAAGCTAGAACGCCCCCTATCCAGGACACCACAGCCATTTGTAAACAGACTGCATGGTTCATAATGACTGCATATCTCAGGGGCTTACAGACAGCTACATAACGGTCATAGGCCATGAAAGTCAACAAGATGCACTCAGCACCCCCAAGAGCAAAGAAGAAAAATAACTGGGTTCCACAAGCAAGACGTGTGATATTCTTCCTTCCAGAGAAAAAGTTTATTGCCATCTTTGGAACAGTGGTGCTAATGAGGGCCAGGTCTACAACAGAAAGCTGGCTGAGGAGAAAGTACATTGGGGTATGGAGCTTCAGGTCCATCCATATCAGGAGGAGCAGGATGAGGTTCCCAGCGAATGAAGCCAGGTAAACCAAGATGATAATGTGGATGAGGACACTGACATATTTCATTTGGGGGAAGAGTCCCAAGAGAATAAAATCTGCCATTAATGTCTCATTTCCGTTCTCCATTGCCTTGACTGGTCTGATTGAGCTAACAAAAAGAAGATGAGAAGAAAAGTCAAGTGGAATTGTATAAAAATTTTCCAAACGTTTCTATCAGTCAGCAGTCACTAAATTAATCTGATGTAACAACAACCCCTTGAATCTGAGTGACTTTTGAAAATAGACACTAATTTTCTTGCTCCCACATCTGCAGGTCAAATGGAACATTTTATTTTAGGCTGCAAGACAAGTACATGTGTAATTCAGACATCTTTCACTCTGGGATCAGTAGGTACCTGGGGCTTGTTCTTTGCCTTTTTATTTATTTGAAAGAGTTACACAGAGTTAGGAAAGGCAGAAAGAGAGGTCCTCCATCCACTGGTTCACTCCCCAACTGGCCGCAATGGCTGGAGCTGTGTCGATCCAACGCCAGGAACCAGGAGCCTCTTCTGGGTCTCCCACGTGGGTGCAGGGGCACAAAGATTTGGGCCATCTTCCACTGCTTTCCCAGGCCACAGCAGAGAGCTGGATTGGAAGAAGAGCAGCTGGGATTAGAACCAGTGCCCATGTGGGATGCTGGCGCTTCAGGCCAGGGCGTTAACCTGCTGCACCACAGAGCTGGTCCCTGTTTTTTACTTTTAAAGAAATTATTAATATGTATTTGAGAGGGAGGGAGGAAGGGAGAGAGGTAGAGACTGAGAACAGAGACAGAGAGAGAAAGTCATTTGCTGATTCACTTCCCAAATGCCTGCAATGGCCAGGGCTGGTACCAGGCTGGAGTCAGGAGCTATGAACTCAATCCATGTCTCCCACATGCATGGCAGGGACCAACTACATGGGCCATCAGCACTGCCTCCCATGGTCTGCACTCGCCCGAAGGTAGAATCAAAGGAGCTGGAACTAGGAATTGAATCCAGTTACTCAATATGAGACTTGAGAGCCTTAACAAGCATCTTAATCACTAGGCCAAAAGCCCACCTCTGGGACTTGCTATCCTCAGGGAGGCCAGAAGAAACACAAAAAGGAGCAAGTAGAGTCATGTGATTCCTGTGATGATCTGAGCTCAGCGTGACCTATCACTGTCATCCACATTCCAACATGGTAGGGAAGTAAACTCCATTCACAGTCAAACACGAGACTGGGCAAATAAGGAGGGACTGAAGACAGCCAACAGGATCCTATTCACCAATCTTCTCAACGCTTATATATTTCATTCTGAATTTTCAGATATTTCATGGTTTAAATCATCAGTCCTCTACTTAATGTGGTCTGTTAAGCCCCAACAATGGAGATTCATGGGTTTCTTGTGACTACAAATAAAACTACAACCAATTGTTTGAGATCACAGGTAGCCCTTGGATATGCCACTGGCTAGACCTGCACTAGGTAAATTCATGAATTCTTTTCACATATGGACTTCTCCCTATGGGCTGATTTAAGTCTACGCATGCAGGAACCATAGATGAATGTGCAATAAATTACAATAAAATAAATCCATGATCCCTGTCCTTTGATGGAAACTCGAGAGCATGACACATCAGCCAGTGATTTTCCTGAGTAGCCAATGTTGTGCATTTCTTTGGAAATAGTCATAAAAAATGATAAATCATATGAGAAAAAATCATGAACAACCACTGAATCAGCTTCTATGAACTGCAAATGAGAAATTAGACTGTGCCTGTATTCCAGTTGGAGAATATCTATTGCCCCCAGCCTCCAAAATCACAGAAACAGAAATAAAAGTCTCCTGTGCCAAGCAATTTTGAGCAACAGGGACAGAAATAAGCCTGACTTATAATTCTCATGATGACCACATCACTAATTATTTAGATGAGAGGAGGCCTTAAGAAAACACATAAACCCATAACAAACCTGGGGGGGGGGGTCATGAAACACACCTGAGGGACAGAGAAGCCTTGCCCGTGTCTTACATCTGGGAGAATGGCACTTGTAAGTTCCATTATCACTTAGACTGTGAGTGGTTTCTCTCTGAGAAACCTGGGGCATTGGAAGCTTCAGCTCATTTGCACCAATGTCATTTCAGGGATATTTTCTTCCAGATAAGGGTGAATAATGCTCCACAGTAATCACTTCAGCTACAGTGCCTTTCCAGATATTGTTAATTTCAGTGAGAAAATGGATAATTCTCCAACAGCAGGCACTCAACTAAGCTGCTAAGGGCCAGATATGACAGTGCTCCTATGCTCACACGTTACATCTAGCCAGCTCATCTTAATGTGTACCCTGACTCCGTGTGAAGAGGCCCTGCGCGCTTCCTTTCCCTCACTCTCCCACTGCTCCTCCAGCCTCACAACTTTTGGTTTTCTTTATTCTGCCAATCCATAAAAACACATGAGTTTGGAACTCATGCGCCACATTATAGTGGAATATCCAGAAGAAAAAATAAAACTTCTAGTGGATGCATCTGGGTACTATGAACCCTTGGGTCATCAGAACCACATGAATGAGCACCAAGATTTTCCCACAGTCCTGTGTGTGATCATGGGGCTCCCTAGAGCTGATCTGAGGGGAGATGCAGCACTTCACTGCTGACCCCTTTCTCAGCCACGGAATAGGGGGTGCGGGGGGCTGGTCTCGGTGTCCTCCCTGGTGTCTACTCAGCGCCTGCAGGACGCCTCCCCAGCACAGCCTCAAGCTCTCTGCTCCTTGGCTTCAGGACCCACAGGAGGCCGTCATCGCCCTAGAGAGGGAATGGAGGGGTAACTCCCTCAAGGATTGCATCTGTTTTCAGATGTTGATGTGGGAAGGCCATAGACATCCTTTATGGAGGATGCTTTCAAAATTGCAAAGGAAACTAATTTTGGTCTTAAAAACTCACCGGTTTTAGAATCACAGATTTTTTTGGTGGATGAGCATTTGCAGTGACTAAATGAGGTACTGGACTCAGTATCAACACAGTCTGCGCCTGGACCCTCACACAGCCTCACTGCCCCTGTAATAGGTACCCATGACCGTCTCCTCCTTCATCTCTTTTCCCATCCCTTGCTTGGGAGAAACTTCATTGTCTTATTCTTGTGTTTAATCTCAGTACTAAGACTGAGTGTCCAGCACCCAAGACTATGCAGCACAGAAAGGGAAACAGAAAGGGGGGGGCAAGAGGGAGTGAAGGAGCAACAAGGAGCCCCCCACCCCTGGGACCCAGGTCCTGCAGGGAATCCCAAGGGTGCCATCTCATTTGCTCACTAGGGTACATGATAAGTGAGGTGCTACATTTGCCTTTGTACTCATCAAACCTAGAGGGTAAACTGTGGGGTAAGAATATCCCTGGTTCTCTCAGAGCATCCCCATCGGGGGCCTCCCAGCTTGGTGGGTGACCTGGTGAGCCTGCCCAGGGTGGACACCTGACCAGGTCTGCTTCATCTTCCCGGGAGACTGATCTCCATCAGACTTGGATAGTATAGTTTCAGTTCTTCCAGTTCTCTTTAACCAGATGATTCCAGCATTACACCATTTTTCACTAAAATCTAAACATTAGAGAATAACTAATTTGTTACATTTAAGGTATATTTTGGGGGACTGGTGTAGTAGCACAGAAGGTTAAGATGTCACTTACAATGCCAGCATCCCATATCAAAGAGCTGATTCAAGTCCTGGCTGTTCCACTTCCAATTCAGCTCCCTGCTAATGTGCCTGGGAAGGCAGCTGAAGACGGCCAAAGTACTTGGGCTCCTGCTACCCATGTGGGACACCCAGATAGAGTTCCAGGTTTTTGGCTTCAGGTCTGGCAGAGCTTCAACTGTTGTGGCCATTTAGGGAATGAACTAGCAGATGGAAGATCTCTCCACCTCTCTGTCACTCTGCCTTTGAAATAAATAAATCTTTTCTAAAAGATATATTTCTGAACAAAAGTTAATCTGTAAGATAGGTCGTACTTGAAACAGCAATGGGTAACACATACATGCTAAGTAGAGGTCACAGTTCTAAGTACCTTGCACTTAGTAATTACCCTCATGGGCAGTTTGCTATGTCATATTTTACAGATAAGGGACCCCAGCAGAGAGGTTTGCTCACTTGTCCAAGATGAAATGGGTAAAAAGTACAGAATCTGGATTTGAACCTAGACAGGCTGATTCAGAGTCCATGTGCCATCTCTTACCTGTGGGTGATGACTGAGCATCTTATCCCCTCCCATCCAGACTTCTCCTCTGCCCTCCAGCTCCCACACCCCTTCACACACACAAACCTACTGACACCCACACTCAGAATCCTGCTCCCATCTCTCACCTTGATGAGAACCAAGTCAGGAAACAAGCATCTCAGACGGTGGGCAGGTGGAGAACAGTGTCACCCGGTGGCCTGTCCTCTGTCAACACCAGTGCCTGTCTCCCAGTCCAAGCCTTACCCAGGTAACTCTTCTCTGCCCTGCTTCCATGCAGACCCAGCAATCCCTTCTGGTTCTCAGTGTCTGGGATCCCCCACGTGTAGGTTTCAGGTCCTGTGGAAATGAAACTCTCATAAATTGCTGAAGGATTCAAATTTACACACTTTGAAAGAACTCACCTGGAAGTGAGCTTCCCTTCACTCCTGGCAAGAACCAGATGACTGATCCCAACTAAACCTCAAGTTTATGAAGCTGTTCCAGCCAGTCACTATCAACCTTGGAAACTGACCTCCCCAAAGGGAATCAGGCACATTCTTCACAGAAAATCACCCCAGACGCCTGAGTTGATATTTACAAAGAAAACACTGTGGGGATACATGCATGTCCCCTTGCTGGGGAGCTATGGCAATGCAGGAAATGAGAAACAAATGTGAGCTTGTGCATCAGTAAAGGAACTGCCTGATGAAATGAAACACTGCTGTTATGTAATCACTTCTGGGGGCTCCAATCACCTTTGCCCATTAGGAATTCTACCCCCAGGCATTATTTAACTTTTCTCTTGAGAGTTGCTTGAATTTCTTCCAGATTCAGGAGGAACTGCCTAACCAAGTGGGAGGGACTTGGAGGGTACAGATCAGATATGTGGGTGCTGCATCCAAGGCCACAGAGGTCAGGAATGCTCAGGCAGGGCACAGGGTGCTTCTGAGCTGCGAGACCTGGCACAACCTCTGATGTCTCCCTTTAAGGAGAGACACAAGGCCCCTACCCACGCACTCCACTGATGTCTTCCCAGAGAAAACATACAGACCTAGAGTGTGCAGTAGGGGGTGAGAGAGCCAGTGTAGGTGACTGCAGCAGGTGAGACTTGCAGCGTTGTGAGGTCTCCTTGCCCGGCCTCTCTCACCACTAGGGTGGTGGACTCCAGGACAGCAGCTGAGTCCTCAGAGGCAGAGGGAACCTCACTCCCAGGAACTGTGTTTGTGTTCTTTGATCTGTCTGGAGACTCCCTGAGGACCCAGTCCTGGAACTCCCTCAGCAATGGCAGCTTTGGTGGAGGGCATTTGTCAACAACATTCAAAGGCAAATGCACCACCTGCTGTCATCAGAAACAAGGACCTGTCAGCTGGGGCAAACAGCAGACAGGGCAGGCAGAGGGAGGGAGAGGCTTTCAGGAATAAGGATGTGAAACAATCGAAGGCACCCTGAGAAATTTATTTGAAAACTGCTTTCCCAGGCCACAGCAGAGAGCTGGATTGGAAATGGAGCAGCTGGGACTCGAACCGGTGCCCATTTGGGATGCCCACACCATAGGAGGCAGCTTTACTTATGACTCCACAGCGCCGCCCCCGTGTTCATATTATTAAAATGTCTAAACTACCTAAAATGATTTACAAATTCAGTGAAATTTCTTCAAAATAAAACTCCAATACCATTTTTCATAGAAATAGGAAAAACAATCCTAAAAAATCATGTGGAATCACAAAATATCCCAAACAGTCAAGGCAATCATGGGCAAAACTGGAGGCATCACATTAGCTGATTTCAACCCATATTACAAAGCCATTGTAATTAAAACAGACTCATCAACAAATGGAAGAGACTAAGGACCCAGAAATAAACCTACACACGTATGAATCATTGTCCACAAAGATGGCAAGAACACATACTGTGGAAATGACAATCTCTTCAGTGAATTGTTTGGAGAAAACTGAATATGCAAATGTAGAAAAATTGCTAGCTATATATAACACTTATCAAATACATTCATATATATGCATATATATATATATATGAAAATCAGCCCCAATGGATTAAAGACTTAAATCTAAGACCAAAAACTACAAAACTACCAAAGGAAAACACAGGGAAAAAACTATACTCCATTGTTTGGATAATGATTTTTTTTTAGGTTTGACCCCTAAGGGGCAGGTACTAAAAACAAAAAAAGATCAATGAGATCACATCTAACTAACAAGCTTCAACATGATAAAGGAAACAATACAGTGAAGAATGACTTGTGGATTGGGAGAAAACATTTATAAGCCATAACATGATAAGGTATTAATATTCAAAACATATAAGGAACTCAAGTCAATAGCAAGAAAATAAACAACCTGATTCCAAAAAAAAAAAAAAAATGGCTACAAAACCTGATAGACATTTCAAAAAACACACAAATGGCCACAAAAATGCTCATCAGGGAAATGCGAATTAAGACCATAATGATATATCACTTCACACAAGTTAGAATGGCTATTATCCAAAAAACGAAAGCTAACACGCGTTGGTAATGGTGAGAAGCAAAAGGAACCCTTTCACCATGTTGGGAGAAATGTGAGTTACTAGAGCCATAATGCAAAATGGTACCATTTCCTCAAAAACACTAAAAATAGGAATTACCATATGACCAGGAAATCCTACTACCAGGTATTTATCCAAAAATCTGAAATCAGTATGTCAGACAAGTCTGCACTTCCATGTTAACCAAAGTACTGTTCACAATAGCCATAGTTATGGAATATATCAATATTACATTATATAATAAGTGAATGGATAAAAATGTATAATATACTGAATAAAATACTATTCAGCCTTTTTAAAGATTCATTTTGAAAGTCAGATTTATAGAGAGAAAGGAAGACACAGAGAAAGGAATCTTCTATCCACTGGTTCATTCCCCAGATGGCTGCCAGGCCAAAGCCAGGAGCCTGGAGCTTCTTCCAGGTTTCCCATGTGGGTAACAGGAGCCCAAACACTTGGTTCATCTCCCATTGATTTACCAGGCCACCAGCAGGGCACTGGATCAGAAGCTGAGCAGCCAGGACATGAACCAGCACCCATATAGGACACCGACACCACAGCTGGAGGTTTTACTGGCTCTGCCACAACACTGGCCACTATTCAGCTTTTAAAAAGAAAGAAATTTTGTCATTTGAAACTACATTGTTAGAATCAGAGAACAGTATGCCAAATGAAATAAGCCAGACACAGATAATATGACAAATATTGCAAGTTCTCACTTAAATGTGGAATCTAAATGGTTGCCATCAGAGGCAAGAATAATAATAGGGTTTTTCCTTTAGATATGTTGACAGTGTGGTGAACACAGTAAACAATAATGTATTGAACAAAATCACTGGAAATAAATTTCAAATGTTCTCATCACAAAATGTGATCAGTATATTTCAGGTGATGGATAAGCTTCTTTGTTTGATTTAATTACTCTGTTTCCTTTTTTCTTTTCTTTTCTTTTTTTTTTTTTTTTTTTTTTTTTTTTTTTTTGACAGGCAGAGTTAGACAGAGAAACAGATAGAAAGGTCATCCTTCTGTTGGTTCACCCTCCAAATGGCTGCTATGGCCAGTGTGCTGCGCCAAACCGAAGCCAGGAGCCAGGTGCTTCCTCCTGGTCTCCCAGGTGGGTGCAGGGCCCAAGCACTTGGGCCATCCTCCACTGCCTTCCCAGGCCACAGCAGAGAGCTGGACTAGAAGAGGAGCAACCAGGACAGAACCGGCACCCCAACCGGGACTAGAACCCGGAGTGCCAGCGCCGTGGGCGGAGGATTAGCCTAGTGAGTTGTGGTGCCAGCCTGATTTAATTATTCTACATTGTACTCATAAATTACATTATCGGGGCCTGGTGCTATGGCATAGATAAAGCCGCCGCCTGCAGTGCTGGCATCCCATGTGGGTGCCAGTTCGAGTCCCACCTGCTCCACTTCCAATCCAGCTCTCTGCTGTGGCCTGGGAAAGCAGTGGAAGATGACCCAAGTCCTGGGCCCCTGCACCCATGTGGGAGACCTGGAAGAAGCTCCTGGCTCCTGGCTTTGGATTGGTGCAGCTCTGGCTGTTGTGGCCATCTGGGGAGTGAGTCAGTGGATGGAACACCTTCTCTCTGTCTGTCTTTCTCTGCCTCTGTCTCTCTGTAGCTCTGCTTTTCAAATAAATAAATAAATTTTTAAAATATATGAGCACTTCTGCTTGATTTCTCAGGGTGCCGTGGAGAGTTTTATATCCTTATTCCTGAAAGCCTCTCACTCCCTCAGCCTGCCCTGTCTGTTGTTTGCCCCAGCTGACAGGTCCTTGTTTCTGATGACAGCAGGTGGTGCATTTGCCTTTGAATGTTGTTGACAAATGTCCTCCACCAAAGCTGCCTCTCCTTCTCTCTCTGTGTAACTCTGACTTTCAAATAAATAAATAAATCTTTCATTTAAAAAATAAATTACAGCATCATTATGTACCCTATAAATACACATGACTGTAATTTGCCAATTTATAATTTCAATTTTTTCTATAAAGTTACAAAACAAGAAATTTATATATGCCCAATGCAAAAAACATTTTTGAAGGGTTGTTAAAAGACTCAGTAGAGAGAAAAGTGACACAAAGATGCACATGTTCTCTAGGCAGCCATGAGACACACCCCTCTACTGGAGGAGGAATGAGACTCTCCCAAAGCAAAATGGTGCAACTGTGGGGGTCAAAGTATAGAATAATTGTGTGTTTTTCTTTAAAAAGATTCCCTACATGGAAGTGTGAGCATGTAGTAAGTTCTCTAATTGTACAAATACCCAGGAGAGCCTTGCAATTCCGCACCGTGGTCCCCAGGTCCCTGATGATGGTGGGTCCCAGAGGCCATCCAACAGTGTGGTTATCAGCTGTAGCTGATTACCTGAATTTCACCATCTGCACAGGGACCCTTCCTGTTGCTCAAGCCTCCCACAAGTTGTGGCTCTGGCAAGGTGACCAGGAAAGAAGTGCCAAGGTCAGGCAATACTAAGGTCACCCCGTGACTTCTCCAAAGAGCACAGACTGAGAACAGCTTCACAATCTACAGGACATGGCTGGGCGATTGGTCCATCTCCTTCCTCCATCCATCAGAGACAACACAGAGAGACAGCATCCTGAGCTCTCAGTAGACACCACCTGCACCACCCAGAGGAAGGTGCTTCACCTTCTGGGGTTCAGTGCTCCCCACCATAACTCAAAGTCTGGAGAATGATGTCAGACAGATAAAAGTGATTATCTCTGCTGTATCCAGTGCAGGGGAGTATGGAAACCAGCTTCAAGATCCCAACAATTCCTTAGGGATGAGCTGTAGCATATTTTTAAGAAGT